AATAAAAGAAACAACAGCACTTTAGTTCAGTAGCTGAAGGTTTACAGATGTCTACTGGTAAAGGTATTTTCCAGAAAATATTGATTATTTTTTTTAGTTGAAATAAACCACTCTGCTGCTTCAGAAAGTCTCATCTAATATTTATTATCTATAGCGAGTAATCTTGATGTGACTGCATCCCTCTTGATGATGTCTTATGAAAGGCTGACGATGCCTCATAAACCACTAAACAAAAATAAAAATAATAAAAGTGCTCTTCAAAGGAGGACCGACTCAAACGTAAGCACAGAATTAGAGGATCCAATCACAAGCATTTTACCTTCTTTTGTTTTGTATGTAGTCTACCTCATCGTGGTTGTTGTATTGGTAGTTTGGTGGATGTGCCTTGTACTGGTTGATGGTCATCTGTAGCCTGTGTACTATCAGCATGCACCGGCTGTGATAAGTCATTATATTCTAATTTTAGATTGCCGTTTCAGGAACTGACCAGGGACACCAGCTGACAATTAGACTCAAGTCAAAACTCTGGCTCATCTACAGTCATTCTTCTGTTGATCAGTGAGCAATAATCTGATCCAATAAATGAATTAATAACACAAAATATGCACAATCATTTTCATGGAGATTAAACCTTCAAATATTTTGTCCTAAACTCCAAAATAAGTGCTTTCTAATTGCTTTCTAGAGCTATAAACCATAATTATAATTATTATAGTTATTACCTACAGTAATCTATTTATTCTGAATTGGGGTTTCAACAAACCTCATGATGACAACTAGGAAAGATTAGAAAGGGCGAACGATCCAACTTGTGTATTATATTAAATCAGGTTAATCATACACTGATTAGCAATTAACAGTGGAGCCAGATAAACTGATATTGCATTATATTAGATTAGATCGTTTCCATTTGATGTTGTTACACAAATTAGGAAAAATAAACCCAGGAGAACTGACTCACTGCCATGGGTCTCATTTAAATACTGATATAATAATATGGAAAGCAGGTCAATAAATCATTGAATATGAAACATCAAAAAAAAATCTAATTATCCTGCAATCTATCTTTTTATAATATATTTATCAAGTTCCCTATCCTCTCACTTGTGTTGGTGCACTGGGGGCTGATTTTGTTAGCAGGTAAGGGCTATAGCCTATAGCATATATGCTACATGTCTGCGTTTGATCGAATTAGTATTCAAAAGCTGTTGCTGTTTCTGGTCACTTCTAAGCTACAGTTTAATCTCTGTTGCTCAATATTTGCAGAGTAGTACTGTATAACCCACACAACGCCCTTGTTGGTCCCCTGGTTCTCTTGCACATGTTCCCTGTCCTGTATACCTTAAGAGCACAGATATAATTTGACTCTCTAAGCTCTGCTAACAATCTGCCCTCTGGCGCAGCATCCCGCACCGTCTGCACCCTCCCTGTGACCCAGTGCAAGCAGCCAACAGAGCAAAACCAGGCAAACATCTCTATCACCTGCACTCATTTTAAAAATGAAACTTTTGAGATACTTTTAGCCTAAAATGAGAAATATAAAACGAGCCTTTCAGAACAAAGACAATCAATACCAAAACCACTGGACCATCTGCTCACAGTCTAGGCCTGAAGACTAAAAAAAAAATGTCTTCAAAAATGATGCATTGCCTGCTGCTGTTGCTGCAGTACAGTGCAACACAAGGAGCCACAGAGTGGCACAAGAAAACAACATGTCGATTCACATGTGGCTCACAAAACTTCTCAGCAGCACACTCCATACATATTCAGATGAGAAAAACCAACGGAAGATCACTAATCCTCTAACAAACGAGCATGTATGCTTGGTTAAAAGAGCCCAGCCCTCAGACTGCAGCAGAGATGCCCACCTGCTACTGAGCCGGCAGCCAGCTAGGAGCTAAAATGGAGAAGTGTGTGGGCTGAAAGAGGAAGCAATGAAAAAAAATGCTTTAAAAAAAAATCAGAGCAATGGAGAATTTCTGTGCAACAGTTTGTCTTAAACGGTGCTGGAATTAATTGCGTTGACTTTAAGTTGGTTGATTGTTGCAATTTAAAAAAAGCACAAAAGAGGGGGACATCATGTTTTTTTGTTTGTTTTATTTAAAGTACAGCCCCCTCTGATATGATTTATCCGTGCACAGATGCTGCTGGGATGAAGTAATCAATTATTCATCTGCTTATAGCCCAGTCATTGTATCTCTGAGGACTCCGGATAACGGAACAAGCAGGATGAGAAAGCAGAAATTCGACACCATAAAAAAGAAGTGAATGGTTACATTGTACTCACGTAAATTCCCAACAGGAGTGTCAGCATTGCAGGCCGTAAAGAAAGCTTCCCATTGTCAGTGTCCCAAACCTCTCCAATACAGAATCCACAGACAGGGCGACAGAAAGGAAAGGGCAGGGTCTGTCTGGGAGAAGAAGGGGACAGTAAGGAAGAGGACAAGGGAAAGGAGGAGATTAGGGGAGTGGTTTATGCGCAGGATTGGTCAGAGGGCTAATGGGAGGAGTTAAAGAACCCAATAGCATATGGAGGAGGCAGGGGATATGCAAAAGACGTGGAAAATCTGGAGAACTGACTGAGGGATAAATCTGACTACTGCAAAGGGGTTTGGCTTCCTTGGGTACCACCCATTTCCTTTAAAAGCACAACGTTTATTTCTTTACCCTTTGAATTTTGGGGATGTAAACACAAAAACGATCAGAGTAAAACGAAAAAGCACAAAACTGACGGCAATATAGTGATTTAATTATATTACATTTCCCTAAACCTTCCTTCCAGAGACTTTTGTAAAAATCGCTAAACATGTAAAATGCTAATTATTATAAAGAGTATGTTGCTCGAAAGCTGACGAGGTTTTTTGTTTTGTTTTTGTTTGTTTTTTAGAGAATGGAAGGGGATAGGTGTGTTCATTTAATAATAGGAGTCCTGCTAGTTTTAGTAATACAGCACTCTAGAGGCCAGGTGGTGGTAGAGTATGGAATATGTAATGGGATATGCTGTGTGTTTTCACTTAGAAGAGGCTTTTGAGAACAAAGAAAGACTCTGGCTTTTTGCTAGTGAATTCAACAGCTTTCACTTTGGGGGATTATTTGAAATGAGAGTATGTGTTCATGCAGGTTGAGAATTTTGAATACAAAATGATGTCACTGTATAATAAAATGCTGAAGGCCGTCAGTGTTAGGTGGCTGTTGTGTTGCAGGCTATAAGGAGTTTGTTGGGGGGTGGGGCTTGGGGGTGAGGGGCAAACAATTGTCTCTTGGTTTTATTCTGCAAGGTGGAGTTGCCATGGAGACTGCTTCCAGTTGAGTCAAGATGGCTGCAGCAATCTGGCAGCAGCAGTGACTATAACAGATATACATAATGTAGGTCAGACTGACAACACTGACAGTGCTTTTCTCAACATGGTTTAAAATAGATAATTCAACAAAAAATAACACAACCCTAAAGTAATCTATTACAAACATTTAAATAAATAATCATTTATTTTCATTGAACTGATCTGTATTTTTATTTGTTTATGACTGACTTAGAGAAATCTAGGTCAATATTATGCCGTCAAATGATAAACAGCATGACTTCCCCTATGAAGGGATGATGTAACAATGAAAACAACAATAACAAGGCAGCCAGCCATCACACAGCCATTACTGCACTAGAACTTTAAAGCAGGTTCAATGCATAATAAATAGAGATCTATCCGTGCATCCGCTCTTCACATCAGACGCTGTTTTTATGACCTTTTCACTGTTCAGCATAAGAAGTTTAAATAGGGATTGTTTTTCATGAAAATGATGATGAAAATCATTTACAGTCAATGGCCGACTGAAGTCTAGAATCCATGAACATCACCAAATGCTGCATTTTCTCCCTTGAGAAGCCTTTAATGCAGCTGCCTTCAGTTGATGCTTGTTTGTGGGTCTGTCTGTTTTCAGTTTGTTATTTAACAACTGAAAAGCTCTGTTGTGTTGAGATCAGATGACTGACTTGCCTGATGAAGAATCTCTCATGCCTTTGCCTTGAGAAACTCTGGGGTCTTGCAAAATGATTTGCCCATTTGCCCTGGGAAGCACAGTCTGATCAGTTGTGGAGCATGTGGCTGAAAATGAGAATATAGCCATGTACACTTCAAAACTCATCCTGCTGCTTGTATCAGCAGGCACATCATCATTAAACACTAGTGACCCAATTAGGCAACCATACACGCCAATGCCATAACATTACATTTACTGTTTACTTGACAAGTAATGTGGAATTTTTTGGAATTTTGAGCCGTTTCTCTATTTCTCTACACACTTTCCTTACTGTTCTGGTTCATGGTGATTCTGTCCAGAGATTTTTGCTCTTCAGAAATCTGCAGGCACTTTTGTTTTCTAAAGAAATCCAGTTTGGTCTTTTGTTCTTGTTGTAAATTCCCTGTTTTTGTATCTTTGAAGGCATCTAATGACAGACTTTGACAATAGTACGCCTACCTCAATGAGAGTTTTTTGACTGCTTAGATGTTGGGAAAGGCTTTATTAGAAAAGGGAAAAATCTAGCTGACTACCATGTGCTTTCAGTCCTTTTGGTGAAAACGAGGGACTATTTTTGTTAAAAAAAATGCTTAAATTCAAAAGCGGTTCAAGCTCACGCTTTAAATCAAGCTCTTTGATTTAAAATCTACAACTAGTGCTGTGAGAGGCGAAATTACAAAAATGTTGCCATTGTCTAAACACATATGGACTTAATGTGATCAAAGGTTAGCTGTCCATTTCAGATTGTTATTATATACCCAAACACAAGCTTATAAGGGCTTGAGCAGATAAGCATTCTGAATTGCTATTGATTATTTGTTTGTAAACATAAATGGAGTATAAATATAGTTGCCTGGTTTGAGTCTTGTACTGAAACATATTTATCACTGACCCTTTACCATATCCATGCATGCTAGCCTTATAAATATTTTATCATAGAGAATTATAAAAAACAAAAACATTTGAAATACACCAGTCTGTGTATATAGAAGAGGCTGTTTTTATTACTTCATTATTTCAAGTCAGACAGCCTGACAGAGTACCAAAAACCTAATTAATGCAACTCTGGCATCAACTGCAGAGCACTGGTTGCCGGTAGTTGAATAAACAAGGTCTAATGTTATGGTACAAGCTGTGGCCTCTTTGACCCAATGCCTCTGCTCCCACAAAATGAAAGTACTGAGGGTCTTCCATAAGTGAAATGTACCACCATTGTCAGGCACCAGGTACTGGGCCTTCACCTGTGGTGATGTCTTAAGTTAATTTGGGATCAACGCCCTTCATTTGGACTTTTCATAGTTCAGCTCTGCTCAAATACAGGCTGCCTTTGTAACACTGACCCATTTAAGATCAAACAATGGCTGAATTGAGTAAGACCCTCAAAGCAACCACACTCTTCTGCATTTTTGACATGCTTCTGTGATAATGTGGAAAAAAAAGAATTACAAGAATGTTTCACAAAAAGAGTTGAAAACAGAGCAATACAAATATACGCAGTTAAAAACCAAAACAAAAAAAGGAAATACTGTATTTAAGCATGCATTACAAGCACGCGTAGTTTAAAAACAAAAACATCTAACCAGGATTTAAATACAGCCTCTGAGCCATTTTATTCTCTCTCTCTCTCTCAATGACTAGAAAACAGTCATTGGTGTGTCTCCCTCTCTCTCTTTCTGTCTCTCTCCACCTTCTCAGTACCTTCTGCACGTTTTGCACGTCAATCCTTCCAAAGTTCACACACTGTAGGCATTAAACCATTTATCCCATTTTTGAGAACAGTTTAGTCAAAATAGTCTTATTGGATATGGATATAAATGCAAATACAATGAATGTGCCCATCTTTCTACATCAACCAGAAAACCTCCACTTTAAGCCAACTATATTTTGCCATCTAGTGGTACAACATACAAAATGCCTTCTCCTAAACAAAGAAACCTTCCTCACTTGCTTAAAGCTTTCTTGAATATATTCACAATTTAGGAAAAACTACCAAAATAGAACAATCTTAACACTTTGTTGTCATCATGAATTAATTGCAATTAACATTAAATTAGATAAATTATCTTTTATACATGTAAAAATATATCCCAAAGGCTAAACACCAGAGCCTGTGGGCTTATTTACAGTGTCCTTGCTGCTCTGTAGTTTGCTCATATCGCCGAGGCGTTTTAAAAAACTAAAAAATAGTCCAGTGGTCTCAGTTTTGAACACCACAGGCTTGCTGCTTGCTGGAACAGTGTCACTAGTTATCTGTACATCGTTGTCTGTGGGCTGCATGACAGGAGCTGAGGAAACAGGTGGCTTGATTGTGTTTTCTGCTGATGTGTCATTTGTGTCTTCAGCACCTGATTGTTTTAAGTTGTGAGAAATGTCAGTATAATCAAACACTGGTTTGGAGGGAGGGTGTCCGGCGCCCTCTCGCTCTGGCATCGTCCCTTTTTCTTTAGCCACATGATTTGGAGTTCTGACGGGCAGTTCAGTCCACCGATTACTTTCCCCTGCCTCGGTTTTTGGGACTTTAGTAGGCAGCGTATGGCGGCGTCCAAGGTTACGTTTAGGGGAAGGTTGAGGTTTGAGCAAAACTTGAAGCAAATCCTCATTGCTGGGGTCATCAGGATACCTATCCGCTTCCTCATCAAATGTGAGCTGACGGCGTATGGGCGCATTTGGAGGAGGAGACTTCTGATTTTCCAGAGAGTAGTCCCCAGATGAGACGCTGCCACGGCTGTTCTGAAAACGCAAAACTTTTTTAGATGCTTCACGCAGCTGTTGGGCCTCCTCCTCATTATTATCTTGCAGATCTTCCTCATTATCATCAAAAGATCTAACTGTGGTCATAAGTCTAACAGTCCTTTTGAAAGGGTTCCTAAGTCCTCTAGAGTCCTCTTCTTTGGAAGTTTTCATCTCTTCTTCATTAGAATTTTCACTCTCTGCCATTGTGTCCTCGATGTCTGACTGGGCTTTGTGCGAGTTCCGTAAGTTCGCAGTGAGTTCAACTGCTGAACTCCACTCTTTTCTGCCCATGTCCTTAGCTCTAACTGAGGCTTGAATCTTTTGATTTACTGGGGGAAGGGTTTCCTGAGAAGTAATTTCTGAAAGGCTCCCGTTATTGGGACTACCATTAGTTGGGCTTCCACGAGTCGATGAGGGCTTTTCTGCTCTTCTCCTAGAACCACGTTTGATGACAAAGTTTTGTAGCACAGATTCTAATGCAACACTATCCATTTCCTTATCTCTACTGGAGCAGGTAGCTGTGGATCTCCGCTTGGCTGCAATTTCCAGTCTGTCTCTGTGTCTCCGTTTCACCTCTGCAGTCTCTCTAGCTTTGTTTTCCTGCAGGAAAAAAAAAATCCCAGTTCAAACCCTTTAATTTTTCTTTTATCTCAGTATAGGAATATGCCAGCACATATAGCGCGTATATTACCTGCATAGCTCGCAAAAATCTTTCACAAAAGGAGTTGAAAATGGAGCAACACTCTTCCAGTTTAAAATTCTTGGCATCCTCACAGAAGTACTGTGCCACTCTGTCACTTACAGACTGCAACTCCTGAAGATCAGTTTCTACTTCTTTCAAGCAAACCTCCGCTTCCTAATTGGAGCCAAAACCAAAACATTAGAGCATATACTCTCTATTAAAATTCACACAAACTGGACCAAGTAACGAATCACCCACCATTAGAAAATCCTCCATCTGTGCCTTTAGGTCTTCCTGCTTTAAAGTGTTTGCATTGGCATCTTGCACTTTCTTTATTTGCTTTCGATACTCCCCTTCAATGTCACCTTGATGTATTCTAAAAGAATTTTTGAAAGCATTTCTTCTCTTATTCTGATGATACAGCAATACAAGAAGAAAAAAGCCATACAAGACACTCCTATATGGCTTTTAAAAAGGTATTGCTTACCTTGCTGCAGCTTCAATGTGTTTGAGCTGTTCTGGAAATTTAAGCAGTGCTGTGTCCACCTTCTGAGCTTGCTGTGATGAATTAGAAAGTTTGTTGAAAATCTAATTATGCAACTTCATCTTAAGGTGAGAAACACAGACTTCTCAAACAAGTAAAAGCCACTTGCCATCACAACATAGTGCATAAGATTCATTCCAGGTTTGTTTGCTTTGGTATCCACTAGTTTCAACAGAGAAGACATTTTGAAGCCAACTGCATTGCCCGCGTAGCCGCCCTATGATCAGATAAACATATTTAGATCAAACAAATATAAATACAAAGAAAAGTCATCCAAGACTCCACAAACACAATCATTATATACTCACAGCATTCATGTAATTTCCAGTCTTAAGGACCAGGCGAATGACAGCATGAAGATTATCGCAATCTAGCAGCTCTAAAAGAAAACATATATTGTTAACTCCAACTCCAAATGGGCGTACAACTCTGCTTTAATGGGTCTCATGTTTCAAACTCAAGGAATGCAGACATTACCCCTTCCAGCAGTGGTCAAAGTACAGATGAATTCTTTTACTTCATCCATAAGGGGAAAAAATTCCTCCTTCAGCACCAAGCAGCTCAAACGCTCTTCATAGCTAAAAGACAAAACGTTTCCATCATTATCACCACTGACATTTAACATGTGATTTTCATTGAATTACACTCAGGTGGCTTACCTGGGGATCTTGACCAACAGTAACATAAATTGATCTGCTTCAGGGAGAGCAGACATGTCACCTTTGAAATTAACCAGCTGCTTTACCTGCATTTGTGAAATCAGAAAATCTGATTATGTATTTGCAAAGTAAATAAACAAAGGTTTAGAATCACATGACGCAATAGACATGTTTAAAAAAAACAAAAACAAAAAGCAACTACAGTACCTCCCCTTCATCCGGAAGCATCTTGCATAATTCCTGCAGTTTTCCAGTACCAAAGCCCAGGCCATTTCCTGATTTGATATCCTCAATCATGTCCTTTATAGACCTGTAATAGAGGTCAAGCGAATCAGTTATCTTTAATTATGTTTTTACTGTTGCTTTGAAATATCTCATTAGTTCTGAGTGTCTGCTTTCATATCACACTTTTCTATGCTTGGTAAAAAAAACTTGGAAAAAAAAAAAGCTGCTGACACATACAAGCCTCTACCTGCTCTAATCACTTTATTTCAACCCTCAGAAAAATACATGCTGTGCAGGACATGAAAATGATGGAATGGAAATGTGCTCAGATTGCAGAAAAACATATTTGGTAACAGCATGAGAAAGAAAAAAGTAGTTAGATTAATGTATCCATATGTTGTTCTCTTGTTTTGCTGGTGACACAGTAGTTTGATCACAAACATTTTACGGATGTTAACAGTAACAGGATTGTTTTCATTCCTTTTAAGATCTGTTGTTTATGACAACTAGCTTTAGGCAATAGATTTACAATACCTCGCAAAAGTGTATCTGTAAGTTACATCAGGGAGATAACCTGTTAGAGCTGTAGAACAGTCTAGTATAGATCAGACCTGCCAGGACATGTCGGCTTTCAGAGATTTTGTGAGTATGATGCAGTCTTATTGCATACAAATATGCCTGCCTCACCTTGTCCTCAGTACAGTGTAACATGGAAAGATTATTGTGCAAAATACTCACACCTTCACAGTGCTACCACTGACTCACCGCTTGAATTGCTTTAGGAAAATTCCAATGTTCATGCTCCTCTTGGAGCTGAGGACAGAAATCTGGGAGGGGAAAGGAGAACAGAGACCGGATTAAAATCTGCTTGTTAGCTGCTAAAACGGTTTCATTGTTGACTTGAGCTCTGTCTTTCGTATCACAGACATCTCAACTTTCCAAAGAGACAGTCGAATCCAAAGGTTAAGAATTCTTTGAGTTGATTGTATTGAACATTCCAGGCAAAGATGCAGTTTTTGCACCTTTTCACCATTTCTCTTACAAAATTCTAGGTGAAAGGTCAAAGTAAAAAGTTAAAATGTGTTGTTAGTCAAATCATGATTGATCTACACTTCATTAAGTAAATGTGCCTAGTGGTGTTTATTAGGGACGGTAGCTTAAATACAGAGCATGGACAACAGAGTGATGTCAGTGAGAACACAATTAGACCTTCCTTCAGCAAACAAATGAAAATAATAATACTCCACCCTTGTACTGAGTGATTTTACATCATTACATAATGTTTCTGACAGAAACATTATACTATTGTTGTCATTTGTTGTATTTATATATTGCAAAGTTGGGCCTATAAAATGTAAATTGTAAAATAAGCAAATGTAAATTGCAATTTTAAGTTTCACATAAAGGGTAATAAAGTTCCTATAGTATCACTATATTCCCAGTTCATAAAATCACCACTTCGGTCACTCTGGTTTTAAATGTTAGGAGAGGAAAACATTGCAGGGACGTCTGTTTTTTCTTATATGTAAGCTGGGGGGGGGGGGGGGGGGTTAATTCAGGTCAAAAGAACTTGCTTCCATACCTCAGCAATAAACAGGAAAGAATATAAAACCTTTCAATCTATTGTACAAACCTTGGGGGTCAAAGTTCCACTACATGAACGGGTGATAGTGACACATTTATAGCCTGGCTAGCTGCACTCACCATTTCCCCTGCTGTGGCAGAACTTGGCAGGCCCCTCAGACTCTGACGGTTCAGAGCTTTGATTTGCTGCTGGGCCTGCTTGTGGCTGAACAGCTCCTCCATATGATCAGTGTCCAGCTCATATTCCCCATCAGTCTTATCTGCTGTCCAGATGTTGTGCTTTCCTATAACTGTGTGTTTGGGTAGGGTCTCCCAGTTGAAGTTGCGCATCTTGGAGCGCCGGCGCTCCAACCTTGAAATTGGACCCAGGCCATGTAGGGATGGAGGTGGAGGAGGTGGTGGCGGAGGAAGTGGAGGTGGTGGGGGTGGAGGTGGGGGTGCAGGAGGACCTCCTGGCTGCATCTTTTAATAAGAACCTCTCAGCAGGTTTTGAATGCATCCACACTCATATTCATGCATAAAAGCTGAATTTCAGCATATATTGGAATGCAGTGAATGTAGAAGCGATTCTGGTCGTTTTTACAGGAATGCGGTGCAAGAGTCAGTCCTGGAGTGACTTGTTCAAAGTGTTGTCAGTTAGGATGATGCATTCCGACTGAAAGAAACAAAGCAGGGTGGGGACACATAAGCTACAGATCTTCATACACTCTACAACAGTGAGCAGCTTTGTTTAGCACAGAGTACAGAATTTACTTTCTTTACTGTACATAAGATTAATTATGGGAGTGATGCCGCCGATTATTTTCATAAAAAGTTTCCTGAAACTTGTGCAAACACTATAATAATTCATGATCCACTTTGGAAACGCATAGAGGCTACTTTAAATCTGCCATAACAGTCACTTTAGGAGATCTAAACGCTCCTGGTGTTTTATCCAGTACAGAGCTATGCCTGTCCACCGTGATCGGTAAACTACTAAAACCAATGTTTGTTCAAACACTTAGCATTATTTTTAGTTAAAGACCGGAGAGAAAGAAATGAAAAGTCAACTCACCTTTGTGTTGGACTCAGCACAAGTCCCATTACTCCGCTTCCCTTTTTGTTTCTTTTCTTATGGCCCTCTTGCTGAAATTTCAAAAGTAAAGAGTGACATCAGCCTGGATAGAGACTACCTGTGTGTAAATGACACGCCCAGGTGAACTCACTTAAAATCCATGACAGTCCACACCTTCCCAGGCACTCTGGGATTGGCTTATTTCTTTCTCTCTCTCTCTCTCTTTCTTTTCCCTTTGGAGTTTGGGGAGGCGCTGCGTTTCTATCCATCTGTCAATGAGTTGCGTGAGTAAGCGGTCAACTAGAATGACAAATATTCTGACTCAGAGAGAAAACCCATTGAACATATTTAAAATGTAATAAATACATTATCAACTTAATTAAAAATAAATTAAATGTTATATACTTTAGTAAATATTCCTGCGGTGAGACCGTCATTGATTTGAATTCATTATATATATTAATTTTCAACTAATATTCAGGCTTTAACTCTATATTATGGGAGTTCTCTCACAAAGGTAAGCGGTATAATAAGTCCAGCTCTGATTGGCTGCGTGTCGTTTGACTTCCGCAAACATAACTCGCCGCTTTGATGGAGTCGCAACCCACCCACCCACTCCATTTTTTTTTAGCATAATTTCACATTTTAATGCACAAGAAAAACTTAAATTCTCACATTTGTCTGTACATATTTTGACCGAGACCAGCACCAACATTTCTTCTTGGTAAACTGCTTGAACCTTGCTCCGTAGATGCTCGTTATCAGATAACGATAACGGATTGCTCACCAGTCACAAGCCCAGAATGTGTATTTGTTTTTGTGTAATAGAGTACATTTAACACCACTAATACAAATTAAGTCGACTGTTTTTTCTACATGGTGTATATTTATCAAAATCCCACAGGATTTCGCCCTCGAATACATGCCTCAGTTTGAGCTCTGATGACCATATAAGGAAATCCGTACAACGCAATCGGACCCCTGAGCTGGGGACTCGGTACTTAAAAACTTCAGTCCCATTAATAAAACAGGACTGCAAGGTTTGGAGGCCTATCTCCCCCTACCACCACTTCCCCTGCCAGTGGCGGACTCCCTCAGACATCGGTGCGTTGGTGGTTCTTTGTGTCTGGGGGTGGGCGTCCAGGTACACACCGGCTCACTCCTTGGCGGCCGCTTATCGGGGCCTGGAGCCTGGGGCTCGCTCGGGCCACTTCGGAGGTGGGGTGCCCCCGGCCTCTCGGCCTGGGGCTCGGTCACTCAGGCACAGCTGGCTGCCGGCGGAGCTCACGGGCGCGTCACTGCAACTCCCCCTGGCTTCTGCTCCGCGGCTGCTGGGTGAGCCCTCATCTGGGACTCTCCTCAGCTCTTTCTGGGACAGTGGCGTGGCTGCCCCTCTGTTGGTCTTCCTTGGTCTCTTGTGTTCTGGGGCCTCTGGATGTCTGGAGTTTTGATCTCCTCCATACCTGCTTCATGCCCTGGAGGACGGGGCTGTGGCCCCCCCACACCCTCTAGCAGATCATTACATGAAGGAACCTTTTAAAAAAACAAGCGCGTCCATGCTCACAGGTGTACACACGGGTGATCACACCCACAAACTACACCCTTTTTGGCTCCTACAACAAAGCACACTGTGTTCTGTTGATCTTATGTGCTGCACAATAATGTTTAATATTTAGTATTTACTGTCATATTCCCATATATCATTGTGATGTTGTTTATTCTATTACTCTTGTTCTCTTCTGCTTGTTTTCTTTTTTCTTTCTCAACAGGTGATCCAGGTGATCGATATATGCATTTTTTTCTCTCTTTTTTTTTCTGCCCGTTCTGTTGGTTTTTGTTTTTTGCCCTTCTCCCCCGTCCCTCTTCTCAGCTGTTTCTCTTTCCCTCTTTTTCCCCTTCTTTCCCCCAGTCAAGTCTGTCCCGTATTCAACAAGTGAAAATAAAATAAACAATAAAAGGTGAATCAAATGGACCATTATGGCAAGGCTGGGATGGTCAATTTAGTAAAGTAAATCCGTTGGGCATCTTTCTTTGCCTTTAGACAATAATTCTGATGGCAAAAGAGCCAAACGGGACAGGCAAAAAATAAATAAATAATAAAATAAATAAATAAAACAGGACTGTAAGTCATATTATGATAGAAAATTGACATAAACATTTTTCAAGATCGATACTTCAAATCATCCCGCAAATTGTCTGCAATGCGTTAAACAGTGTTAGTATGCAAGCCATGGGATTTTCTCAGATACTGAGGAAAACTTGCATGTTGTTTGCCTTTTCCAATGGAAAATGACCTTTGGGATAAAATAAGATTTTAAGCAGGAAGTGAAAGCGATACTGAGGGAAGTCTGAAGGGACTGACAGTAAAGAATATATTTAAGACTTAATTACAAGACCAAATGTGTGACCACAACAAACTATCATATTATATAACTTATAAAGGTAAGATTAGATAAGAGTGTGTTATAATCTAATCTCTTAACCTTAATCTCTTATTCTGATTTTATCTGAGAGCACTGTGACCATTAAAAATCTATTTGTATTAATGGCAGAGAAGCTTGAAAAAGCAATCATGTCTGTGATTCTAATATTGACAGATTGATGGCTTTATTCACTGCATACACCACCTCAAAGAAAACATTCAGTTTCTTTAGGCTACTTCTGGTCGCCCTGTCTCATTCTTTTAAGCCAACATCAAAAACCTTAAGCAAACTTTCAGGAAAAAAAAAAAGGTGTATTTTAAGGAATAAGAAATAAGGTAATCCACTGAAAGCATGTTGCAGATATATTTTATCATGTACATAATTAAAATTACATACTGAATATTGTGAGTTTTCTTTACATACATACTGTGAACTGTAACCATACGAAACTGACAGCCCCTGTGTCGAAAGCACATCTAAGTGAAACAAAACATCCAGCAGACTTTATTGGATTTGCAGAAGATAAAGACAATCAGCTGACTAAAACAATCTAAGTAACATACAAATTATGTTACAAACAGGTAAATAAATAACGCAAACTATAACAAATGAACTCATACATTCTGTTTTTGATGACGCTGACACTTGTACTGTAACCTAAAGTGCACCTTGATCCACTATTCCCATTTAGTATTTCAAAAGGAAGTTTTGCAGTTGCACAATGCCAGCTCCTACAGTCACTGCAACACTGGCTGCGTGCCATGTTTTGATACGGATTTCTTTATGATTGTTGAGATCTGATTAGATTAGGAATTGATGGGGATTTGCTGTTAAACACAAATGTCATGTTTGTTCAGGCTTGTTTCCATGTGTAAACTCCAGAGTAAAAAAGACAGATAGTTGCAATGGTGCTGGACTTGATCTAACACTGTATCCAAAATTTAGGTGTAAAATAATTATGACTGTATATTAGGTTAGAGAAAAATCATGTTTGAGATTATATATATATATATATATATATATATATAAATATAAAATGAATCTATATTCTGATGTGTTTGACTCAAAAGTGTTAAAATTGATCTCATGATCACATGTGCATAAGGAAAATAAATATAATTTCTGAACATTGTAGCAGTACCCTGCTGACTTGCTATTTTTTTTAAGAATTCCTCCTATTTGATGTACACTGAAATATTAAAAGGGAACCTTACACAACAATACAAATACATCAAAATAATGCATGTGCAAACTGCAAAGGAGAATCTCGACAATAGTTGACTATCCTGTACATATATAAGAGATGGAAATGATTGTGCTAACTAAAGAGTAAGAAAATAACATGGGGTAATTTTGTGATTTAACATAAAACAACATAAGAACAACTTAAAAAGTTGTCCATCTATGTAATAAATCATACTGAAAAACATTACAAAAGAGCTATATCTGGCTGCTACTTATTCTACAATATACTCCTTTATCCATTTAAATTCGCCATCTAACCACAATGCCAGCATGAAACTGTACATGTCAAAATGCTGAACCCTGGATGCATATTACTGCTCCTCCAGCCACGATGGCTTATCTGATCCTGGGGGCTTTAACTTTACATTGAACTGTATAAGAGTTTGTTCTAACTGCTGCTGGTTGCCAGCAAAATAAGCGGAGATGGCATTATGGAAGAGAAGCAGCTGCTTGTGCATCACCTTCACCTAGAAGAAAAGAGAGGAGAGAAAATGACATTACAAACATGGTTTCAGGTGTTTACATGAAAGCACAGCCTGCAGACATTTATTTGGATCACCAACTGCTCGGAATACATTCCTAAAAATAACTTGCACATTCCTCTGAAGCCTATTCTCAGGAGTCAAGCAGGCCGTTTTAAAGATCTCAGAAAATACTATCTTAAGTTTAACTTGAATTTATTTGCTATTTTACATTTATCTGGCAAGAATTTCCATGTTTTTTTAACAGTTCTTGTCATGAGTGACATTTCATTTTCCTAAAGCCAGATTTATTAACCAGGGATCAGAGTGCCAGGACCTTCACCACAACTACTGTCTGATCCACAAAACACCGAACTCCTACAGCCCCTTTCTGCAAGTGATGGCCCCACAGGAGGGATTGCTGATGTACTGCTTTTGGGCTGTGCCCATCCAGGCCCTGTGGTTTTAAGTATCTTGGAGTCTTGTTCATGAGTGAGGAAAGAGTAGTGCAGGAGATTGACGCTGTATTAGTCTGTTGTGGTAAAGAGAGATCTAAGTGTGAAAGCAAAGCTATCGATGTGCATTTCCACCCTTACCTAGGGACCCAACCTCGGAGTATTGACTGAAAGAGGGAGACTGTGAATACAAGTAGCAGAAATTAGCTTCTTCTGGAGAGTTGCTGGGTTCTAAAATATGGGTCACTAATTTGAGCCACTATTTATAGTAGCTGATTCGAAGCATCCTCAACATTTTACCTGCATCTTTGTTCAAAACTGTCTTTCAGTCTATCGGCCCCCGTCTGCTCTATATAACTAGTGCTCCACTGCTCTTCGGCCGAGTCTCTGCTTATTTTAAGAAAGATGCCATTCAATCTCTTAAAAAAAAAAAAAAAAAAAAAAAAAAAAAAAATTGACTCTTCTCATCCTCAAAGTTATACACCAATCTAAAAATGACTGTTTATTGGTAGCAGTTTAGAAAAGGTTGAGACCAAGTAGCATACATCTCTTTTAGACAAATGCAGCATTCTTGGTACATTTAAATCTGGCTTTCATAGAGCTCATTCCACCAAAACAGCTCTCTTTAGTCTCCAGTGACATTTCTATGCAAAGCGATGCAGGAGAATGTTGTTTTGCTGATGCTGGACCTGACCTCTGCCTTTGATACTGCTGACCATGACATGATTCTCCACTTCTCTTGTCTACTGTGTGTCACGAGGTTCTGTTATGGAGCTCTTATTTTGTCTATCTGTTCCATCTTCAGCATATTTTGAGCACTTTTAAATGACATTTATTGTCACTGCTACACAGATGACTTTCAGTTAAATATCTCTTCTAAGCCCAAGATGTTTCTACTGTGACTTAGACATCTTGCATAAATGATTAGACTGTATTAAAGGTTGGATGGATGGCAATTTTCTCCAGCTTACTGAAGAGGAAACAGAAGTCCTTGTTTGTGCCCCTGTCAGATCTGTGCTTAAGGTAATGGAGATTCTAGGTCCCCTTGTCACATCTGATAAATCTTCCATCAGGAACCTTGAGGTCATTTTTGACTCAGCTTTGTCCCTGGAAGCTGACGTGGTTCGCTCTTGCTTTTACCAGTTGAGAAAAATTTCCCAGGTGAGTTTCAGTCGTTCAGGCTCTAAACTGGAAATTCATACTCATGCCTTTATTTCATCACTTTTAGATTTTTGCAATTCGGTGTTTACTTGTTTCAACAAATCTTCCCGGAGATGTCTGCAGCTTGCTCAGCATGCAGCTACAACACTGCTGACTGAGTCTTCCAAGTACTCAAATGTCACACTGATACTAATTCAGTTGTACTGGCTCGCCATTAACCTTCAGAGTGCGCTTTAAGATTCTAGCGCTGACTTTTAGAGCTCTGCATGATCAAGCATCAGTGTACATGAGTCAAATTTTACATTCATACATCACCAGCAGGTCTCTGAGGTCATGTGATCAGGGTCTATTGGTTTTGCTTCACAAAAGACTGAGAACTAAAGGCGACTGAGGTTTTTCAGCAGTGTTCCCCAGACACTGGGAACTCTCTCCCACTGAGCTTAAGATCTGTGGACTCTGTGGTCTCTTTTAAAAAGCAGCTAAAAACTCATTTTTAAACTTACTTTATGTTTTTGTGATGAAGCACTTTGTGATATTTATCTTTAAAGGTGCTATATATTAAATTTTACTTTGCTTTACTTTCACTCCTCCAAGTAAGGAGCCAGTTAAGGACGTTTGGGCATCCAACTAGGACATCTCATAGTTGAGATGCTTTAGTCATTCCTGTCAAGAGGAGGCCCCTGGGCAGATGCAGGCACACACTAGAGAGATTAAGTCTCTCGGCAAGGGCAGCTCTTTTTTCTGCTAATATAAGTTCTAATTGAGGTTTTACCTTGAAAGTAGCAGAAATGCAAAAGATTCCTTCTTTTTGCTGTATAATGATAGCAGTTATATTCAACACTGTGCTCACTCAACACAGTAACATGGGTATCCTTCAAGCAACTTAGAAGAGGCATTGGCAAGACACAGTATTTTAGTATTATATTTTAAATATGATTGGGGGTTTTTTGTGTTTTTTTTCCACGTTCAGAATGACCATCTCAAAACTATTACGACCAGCTGTTTTTAAGGAGGCATATCATACTGCTAAAGGCAGTTGTTTGTGCCCTTAATGTTTGCAAGTGCCTAGCCTGTTTCAAAACCACATCATCCATGAATGAACCCTGACTTTGGGTGTGGTTTAATCTAGGCTTTGCTTCATGTGAAACCACAATGACGTCAACAACACTGATGTCATGTGGTTACCAATGCTGCATGATTGGAGGTAAAAATCACTGGAGCCAAAACCAGTCCCTGTACCCTTCCTAAGTATTCAACCCTCAAAAATGTAAATGTCATCACCTGCAAGCAAAACTGCAGAGCCTGAGTGTGTAATTTCACAAGGAATAAAAATGGTATGAAAAAAGGAATGGGACAGCATTTTAAACACTATAAAAAAGATTAATGAATTAAATTTGTGTGCAATAAAGGAGAGGTTGTACTGCCCTGATTTAAATCTAAATATTATTGCAACCTTTGGGTTGCCTGGTCCTGTGTGTCTGTTTGTTGTTTCCTCATACTTTTCTTTTTAAGTTTAACCTAAAGGTACCCTTAGGTATAGTCTGCAGAAATTCAGAAAGTATGCATAAGACCTCAAGAAATCTGCCAGAGAGCCCTCATGCGCTTGATTTGACAGTGGGGCAGCCTTAAGCCCTCAAAGGCTTTAGCACAAATGTGCCACAAAGTTGGTAAGTCTCTGAGTGTGGACACTGGGATTATCTCCTAGAAGCAAGGCTTGCTATTCAGCAGCGATCTTGAAATGCTTTAAGCACTTCTTTAGATAATGACTTAAAAAAAATACCCAAATTAATTGAAATGGTCTGGGACATAAAACCTGCATGTGCAGTGTAACGAGGAAATCTGAGGGGGAAAAAAAGTGCCAACTTTGCCCAAAAAAGTGAAGAAGTTATACTTATATCACTATCTTTCACTACTAGAGCTAAAAAGAATAATAATTCAGAGGACTGCACTCTTTAAACATGCAGGGATTTCAAGAATAAAACTAGACTGTAATCTGAACCTTGTTTTCTTCCAGGAATTTAAGCTTGATGGTGACATCACTACGCAGCCTTTCATATTTGTCTCTGTGGATCTGGTACTCATGCTGAGCCATCTCAATGCGAACCACGCCAGCTGCATCCCTTGGTCCCAAACTCAGTTCCTCCAGATCAGAGCGATAGGCATCAAACTCAAGTCTGAACACAAACACAAGACTGAGTTATTTTCTAGGCAACCATTAAGTTTAACCACTTAATGGTTGTACATCTTAGTAGTTCAATACCTTGCATTTTCGTACTGCTTAATCGTCATCAAAGTATCTTCCATTGTTTTGTTGACCAGTGTGTTGACACTGGATACGAAGAAGTTGATGGCACCAAGCAGAGCCTCGCCATTCTTACACAACAGCTTTTGTGTTTCTGCATTATACCCAAACTCATCCTGCAGAGAAATACAGAGGTTTTACCTGCCAATGTCATGACATGTCATATGGGGAGATTCTGCAATACTATACCTGCAACTCTGGGGACTTCTGGCTGAGGTCAGTGAAGGCATCTCCTAGAGCCTGCTGCGTCTGCACAATTCTTTGAAAGTGATCGGTGAGAGCGGTGGCCAGTCTTAGGATGTTTTCATACTTGCTCTTCGTGTCTCTTAACACGTCAATCTGAGCCTCAAGTTCCAGGTCTACTGTCCGTGAGCCTCGGCCAAACTTTTCTGAGAACATCTGCTTTGTACACTGCGCAATGAATATGAACAGAGAACAGCACACGGTGTCAACGCAACCTGATGTAGTCTTTGGAACACAGACATATCCAAGCATATCTATTCCATTTTAAAAACACAGCATGCACACATAGTGCAGAATACCTTGTACGTGTTTATGCCCCATTTCTTCACACTGTCCAGTTTCTCCACTGCTACACCACGAGAAACTTCTTCAGTTGAATTTGTGTTATGGTTCGACGACCCTAAAAAGAACATAAAAGCTAGAAATAAACACACAGTGTACACAGTACTGGAGCTTCTTCTATGAGGAGAAGTTTTTAAGGCAGTGGTTTACAGAAAATAAGTGAGGACAGTGTGGACAGGGTGATGAGCATGGTGATACCTGGATGCTGCTCTGTGTGGTGGGCAAGTCGACTTGCTGCAGATTGACTTTTAGGCAAGTTAACACCCCTGGATTTCATGCGAATGTCTGAAATGAACATGCCGGTGATATAGAGTAAGAATGAGAGGAAGACATGTAAAAATGACTGTAGTGAAACATGCCAGAGCAGCTTGGGAGTGAGATATGCCGCAGAACAGCAGAGCATGAAGACCGAAGCCCCTTTCTGACATGGGATTTGTAGAATTGCTGGCTTCATTAATTTGTTGAAGTAATTCAGTCATTCAGACATAGGTAGCTTCTGTGTGAATCTTCAAGCATTCCCACAATATTTGTAGAAATAACCATGGTAACTGGACTGGATATTATGTTACACAATGCTCTTATATCCAGATCAATCCTGTGTCAGTGGTACTTAAGTCATGAAATGTGACATACTGCATTCACACAACATGTGTAAATCTGTGCACTTTCTTTGATTTGTAAATGATCATGGAGAAAGTGCGCTGCTATACGCTGTGCATTCAGACATGAAGCCACCCACGGAAAAGGAGTGAAAGTCCAAAAGGAGCTTAAAAACTGTTATGCTCTGCAGTGGAGGACACATAAAGAGCAGGGTTAGAGGGGTTTTGAAGTAAATAACAATCCACCAGGCAGGCTTCACATGCACAATAAAAGCATTAAAAAAAGAAGATGAAAATGGAATTCATGGGATGAGATGCAAGTACTGGCAAAATGGTCAAAGTGCATTTCAAAGTACAGAACAGAACAGATTTTTTTTAGACATCAACACAACATTGAATGTGACAGCCCTGTAATATCTGGTTAGTTCATTCCTATTTTTGAAAGGTGCCAAAACATTACTTCTTGCTGAAGCTGTTCAGTGGCAGAGTTCGGTAGGTACAAGCAAGGTTACATACAAGTCCGCTCATCAAGCCTCAAAACCTCTTACAAGGGGGCAAATAAGACCAACATATCAAGGTTAAATAAGAAAGAAAGGGGTTATTAGAATACACAGCCACCTGGTCCTGGTGCAGGGGCTTGTCTTCTGTCCAGATACTCGGGGTTGAAGTAAACTGCGGGTCCTAAGGAATATGGATGTTTGTGACATAAACCAGGAGACTGCAGGTCAGCAGCTCTCTTGTGACACACAAAGAAAAGCTCCTGCTATTGTTTCTTAAAAGATGCACTAAGTATCAACCTCTTTCAGTAACTGAAAGACAGTACAAGCACTGATCTCTGACACAGCCTTTATCTAACAACAGCCAGAACATCGTGAAACAAAATATCTTTAAGGGTATTTGTGTCTGTCAGCCCCTGGAAAAGGAGTTGCCGGGTCAACTGTACTTATTAAAAATCCTGTTCAACTGATGTGTGCGTTTTAGCATGAAAATTACTTACTGAACAGCAACTTGTACTTAATGCACCTTTAAATTTGTAATATCCCTGCAGATATTACTTAGAAGAATAAACAACAAAGCAATACCTGCAGAGAATGGAAGCATGGTTTGCTAAAAGTACCTTTGATACTGCTGGTTGGGATGATGCCCCCTGCAGGTCCTCCATAACCTCCAGAGACAATACTGGTTTCATTCAGGTTGGGTCCAGACACCATCACCTGCTGCAGATCCTGAGTTAAAACAGATAAACACAATTTATTAGCTTTTTCAAAGTATCTGCATGGATGTTAAGGTGCACAAAAATGCTGAGCACACTTGATCATTTTATGAAACAATGTAATTTTATTTATCTTGGTCAGACTCACAAAGCAGTAATCTTAAACATAAACATAAATGTATGTCATCCATAACTTTTAGTTAAAATGAACAGAATCTATTTTTTGTAAAGCTGACGTGCAGACAGATAACATACAAAACATTTGATTATGAGCTAAAAATAATAATATTACTTGTAGTAGTCATACATTTCATTATAGAGGCCTCAGTATTGCTTATTCTAATGCTACTAATGTCATTGCTGGTGTAGCTTTCTTAATCCCAATGGGCTTTACAAATGGTGCACCAACCTTTTAATTTTACTGACAGTTTGTCATGCAAACGCTCATTTATGTCACAGTTTCCTCCTGTAGGTGCTCTGAACGATTCAACGTTATCGGGTTGGAGGTACACATCTACTGTCCCTAGCTACAGGCCTTTACATGGTAGGGTAACATTTGGCCTAACCAGCCATGAACTGTACAATCACGCAAAATTTAGGGAAACTAGATACTGTTATAAGCAAAATAGCATTATTCATTTCCACAGTGAGTGAGGTGAGATGAAGCATCACTGACCTGCTCCAGACTGTCATCCTCTGGGAGAGTGCCTGTGTCTCCATTGCTGTTAATGGGGATCTCCATGGTTGCAGCCTTGCTCATGATACTGTCTGCCATAATGAAATCTCTGCAAGAAAGACAATAGCACATAAAGCTGGGGGAGAAAAACAGAACAATGCTAGCCTACATCGACACAGAATAACAGCTGGCTTACACTGATGCTAACGTGATTGACCAATAGCAACGGTGCTGATGTGGCTTGCTAGTGGGCTACTACCTGACAGCTAGCTTCAAATCCTCACCACTGTAGCTGAGACTGGAGCCAAGTTTCAGTCGCCAGAAAGACTAAACAAGTCGCGCGGGCAGTAGCCTTGAAATATAACATAAATTAAACGGAGGCACCGCTGTTTTTACTTAGTATCCCATACTACATCCATGATTACTCATCCTGAATCGTTCACATGATCATCTACCTGCTTCCATAGAATTCAGACAGAAAATCCCTGCATCCAGCCAGGTCGCAGCTTTAATAGTACGACTTCGGAATAAAGGTTTTCGTGATTTTTATTTTTGTTGTGCGTCACATTAGGTTCCATTTAAAAGCACTGTGCTTCAAGTGAAATGCACAATGTATGTTTTTAAATGTACTTTATGTGTCAAAAAGCAGGCTGAGAGGGATACTGTAATTTGATGCTCTTATTTTGAAGAATAATAACGTATCATCGTCGTCAAGCCTCCCCCATCTTCCACGTCGTACGGTGCTGACGTAGCGTTTTCCTCTGACCTGCAGTACCTGATTTCTCCTGAAGATGTCAGTAGCACTTCACGGCCCAGTAGAGAGAAACTAGAACATGGCAAATCTAGAGTAACTCAATCAGTAATATGGCTCTGGTCCCTCAAATGTTGTGAGTATTAATCATTAAAGCCTAGGTTGTTACATCTTAATCGTTCCATTGATTGCAATATCTCCTGAAATCAAACTGTATAAATACAGTCGTTTGTTTTGAGTTGTGAAAGGCTTTGAGATAGACCTCACCCTAGCAAACTGGCCGCACTTCCAATTATTTGCCTCATTTATTTCAATCAGGGACGCAAGCAAAGTGCACATGGCCTCCAAATGTAGAAGTTTTTCTGTAATTATTCCGGCTCGAAGCAGAGCACCAACCCTTCACACACGCTCACAATGTATTCCTAATGGTTAATTTTCCTCCATGCACTGATTACCTACAAGTGACATATTTTCCAGACTTCTAAAAATCTCCTCCTTCGTTTTCAGTATTCTACACAGCATGAATTTGACAAGCGCATTTCTAGGATCAAAGCAGGCAAAATGGCAAATCATGTAGGTTATGCATGTTTCCCCCCCCTAATCAACAATCCACTTGTCAGCAGTGATTTGACTGGCATGGGTATGTGCTCCGCCTTTGATTCTCCTTCCAAATTAATATTATTTTAGCACCATCTTGGACTACTGCGTGCTGCACCAAGTATATTTTCTTGTTTCCTCAAACATTCTCAATCATGTCATCCCATGTCCAAAACGAACTAGATGTATGTAGAACCATGGTGGAATCTCGAGGTCAAGATGGTCAAACGGTATAGGTGAGCCTTTTATCCCTGCCCCAGATACACAAAACTGCAGTTGAAATTCTGCCTACATAAACTTTTGTATTTCAAAAACTGACAATCTGTCAAGCATGACCATGCCACATTGCAGTCAGCCATGTGTGAAAAGTTAAGACAGTTTTTGATGTGGTCCCATTAATCATGCATTCAGCAAAACTGCCCTGCATGCGGTCCTGAAACCGGAAGTCACTTTTCTGATGTGCATCATAAATACACATTGAGCAGAGTTATCACAAACTTTAAATAGTGGCTTTGAACGAAGGGATGTGCTCCAGGTTGCAGTAGTGCAATAATAAACTGAACATAATGATCAAACTAACTAAACCTCGACTCCAAACAAAGCATATCAGTGTTTCTGCCTATTGCATCTGTATAGTCACAGCTGGGAAAAGAAGGTGAGCTCAGACCAGTGTGTCTTCCAGAAATGGAAAAATGAATGTGTCATAGTCATAGGAGGAGTTTCAGTTCTTGTGATAATGCTCAGTTTTGGTTCCAGCTTTCATTTGTTATTGTTATGGCTTTTTTGTGTTTGCAGAGCCCTCAGTGTTTCCTTCTCTTGTCTCATTGTGTCTCATCTCTCTGTTAGTGCTTTTGTCTTCCTGCGTTCTCCTCTTTAACAACATGGGTACGTTCGACTTACCTCCTACCTGCTTTTCCTTAACCTAGACCTGATGGAAAACATCAGTGAGGTCTAGGAGGAATGTGGAAGAGAATTCATGAAGACTTAGGAAAAATAAGGGTGTTATGCAGAGAATCCAACTGTTGTTACACTATACTCATTAATGATGTGACAGCTGATGTCTGTCATATTAATTAAAGACTACAAAATCTGACTTCACACCAGTATGTTCTTACACAGTTGTTTCATGCAGGTGATATAAATGAAAAGCACACAAAAAAGAAAGAAATTTATTTCCTTTCCATTCATAAAGGATGGGCCAGTGTGTCCTTTTCTCAAAGGGGGTAATATAGGAGGCATCAAAGCACCTTTCCTTAGCATTTAAAGACCTTCATTTATTATGGCTGACAGACAATTACTTCTGGCTGGGTCCTACTGAGTTAGGAACCCTCCTTAACCAAATGTATTATTCTTTTCCAGCTCTTGTTAAGTGTTAGTCCTCATGCCCCATGTTTTACTGTAAAGGTTATCATGTATTTTGCCCTAGTTATATTTCCTGTCCTTGTCTTTCCTGTGATTGTTGGCCCCACCCTCATTGTTTTCAACTATTGTTGATAGTCTTACCTGTGCCTTATTCCCAGTATTGTCTCACTGCAATATCACTTGTCTTTGTCCAATCATTTGCAAGCCAGTTATCGGTGTTCTATATTTGGATCCTTTTCACAACTCTCATAGTCCCTCTCTATAGTAGTATACTTAGCTATTCTAAGTATAATAAGCATACTGTGTTTATAGTTTTAGATACTTTGTAAAAGAAAAATTACAAATGTTTTTTGTCTTCCTTTCACACTAGAGGGGCGTGCTACCAAATGAGATTAGTGGGTTAGCAAGCTATGTCAAGCTGAAAGCCACAGGGATCTGTGTCATGAAAGTGCCTCTATTTTTACCTGGCTGAATCACCATGGTAACTTACTCTGACCATATAACCTGGTCAGGAGAAGGTTATGTTCAGAATTTTGTTTTAAGATTGGCTGGAAGCACCAGATTTTCGTTGATCCTTTCATTTAAAGCATGTTTTAAGTGAAATTCGTTGTCAAATCATTAAAGCCGCTGAATGATGCACAAACTGTGTGTGGCATTGTCATGGGTCGTTTTCATGTATTAATTTGGTGAAGCAGAAAATGTACAAATGTTTTTATACTTATTATAATCTGCTGCTTAGTCTGTGTTACATTGCTGGAATTGTACATAAGGCACATCCTCTTCTGTTGATCCAAATCCAGCTGGAGCCAATCCCAGCTGCCATAGGGAGAGTGGCAGGTACACCCTGGACAGGTCACCAATCTGCCTGGTCAACCAAAAAATTAATTTCCCTTTGATCTGCTGACTAACTAAAGTAATATCCTTTATTAGGCTACGGGACATTAACCTTTAACGTCTGAATTTCTCCAGTTTAAAATTTCAGAGCTCTAATGTGCAGCCACACCTTAGAAATAAACAGGAGCCCACTCAGCAATAAATGATTACCTGTAATTAAAATGTTTATTTTACCGCTCTGTGCACTAACAGATTAAGGATTTTCTGTAGCATTAATCTCTTGTCATTTTTACAACAGTTTTGCATTTTAATGTTATCTTTTTTTTTAATCTTCTTTATAGATTTTTAATCACTGTTTTATCATCATAATCATCCAAGGATGTCTTTGATTGGGGTAGGCAGCACTCAGACAGATCATTTTGCGCAGAAGTAGAGCCATCTGACCCGTGAAACCCCGTGAAACCACCCTTTTTATATGAGCGTGCTGATGCAGAGAGCCCAGCTTAATGGAGACAGTTGATAACCACCATCACGATACCCGTTATCTCCAACTGGAGCTTTAGGTTTGGTCGAGGAGCATAGCTGTGTCAAATGTGTTTATTCCTGGCATATGCCTCAGGACAACATGTCTTCATATCTTCTGTTGAGAACGTTACTTTATCTGGTGAAGCCACTGAAAGATGGAAAGCAAAGATTAATTGACAGCAGCTTAACAGATCTACAGTACATACTGTTGACATGGTGACCCAATACAACTGCATGTTTTGAGTCATAAAACTACAAATATACACGTGTCTTGTAGGTCAGTACCTATAAGAGATGAATGTATTATTTTTAACAAAAGGTACACTGCTAAACATTTTCATGGTTAGCCAGCTACTATTTTTTTTCTTTTTTTCCTTTTTTCTTTTAGTTTGAGTGAATAATTGAATGGGTATGTTTTGGCTTCCCATTTGAAAAGAGTGACTGACTCAACATCCTTTAGCATAGGTACCTTTGACCTGCACATTATTCATGGGCCACAAACAGTGTGCGGTTGCTGAAACTTGACTTTTAAAATGAGTTGTTTTGTTTTTTGAGTGGAAGTAAAAGAGATTAGGTGCAGCAGTTAGTCATTTTGAGATGTAATTAAGGCAAATTAAAGCAGAGTTTAATCACAAATTCTCTCACGTTTCAGCATTTTAATGTTATAAACTCCACAGATGTAGCTTCGTGAGAGTTTTACATTTTAACAAGGCAGCAGTGGGGGGTTTATACCAGTTGTCAGACTTCCATCTATACTCAAACCCTTCCTTGGATAGAAATTTCAGAACACCGAATTCTCACAGACGTGAATGTAAATTTAGTGTCGCCTATAAATTTAGAACAAGGCCAAATTAAATTTTAAAGGTCTCAGGCGGGGTTCCCACTGAGACGGTAGAGCATGTCACAAAGGCAGCTTATGTATGTGAGGAGAGCGTGAGACCTAAACCACAGTGCACCCCTCCCCCTGTCATTTTAGAGAATAGTTCATCTTGTTTTTAATGATCATTAAGCATGCTTCCAGATGTTGGTAGGGAAATTCATCCTCACACAGTCTCCTGTGCTCTACAGCAGAAAACAAGAGTAGAGTGATACAGGAGATCCAAGAAAACAACGGAAAGTAGTGCTGCCTGCATCTTTAATTCATGGGAATTACAAACATTGCTCAATTCTTACATTATAGAACATATGGAAGTGATTTTTATAGTATACTTAATGTGCCATTTCAAACAGTCTATCAACCTCTTTCCCAACTGGCGATTCAGTCAATGCTCTCTCAGAGACAGAGCAATTCATCATCGTAATGGGTCCTTGGATGCTGTAAATGTCAGTTATAGATTGTCTGAGAAGGCAACACATAATCAAGAACAATAAATATTTATATGCTTTCACTTTACTGAATATTGCGCTCAGAGTAATTATAAA